GGTTTGATGACTTGAAGAAATTGTTTGAAGCCTTGAATGTCTCTTGAATGCACTGTAAAGGAAAGAGCCCCATGGTACATCTGGAGATCCCAACTCCTTTGAGTTCCCGTCAGTATGAAATCAATTGGGTTCATCAGCATCCAAACCTTTCTGAATAATGATCTGTCTTTATTTTCAGGATCACATAGAAACATNAGCCTTTCTTTTCTTTATTTGGGTAATGATCTTCTGAACATTCAAAACAGTCATCCATATCTGGAAAGAAAAGCCAATGAATTTGTCATCTATCCATTTTGTGTTTTTGAAAATTATAGCCTGTGTGGATGCCAGTTCTTATTCTTTTCTATAATGTACCTTTCTGATAAAATGATATTTAGAGTAGAATAGAAAAGAACAGAACAGAACAGAATACAATAGAAACTTTATTGTACACTAATTGGCATACATTAAAATGGAATTTCATTGCATACAGCTCTCAAAGGGACACATCCATCCCTGTATTTTATCTTGACTTTAAGATGCTTTTGTTTTCTACATGGAGAACAATAGTTGGTTCTACAAATATCCATCCTGTGTGCCTTGGATGATAAAATAACTGATCTGTTCATAAGACATCTGTGACCTAGTTAAATTCCCTTTGCTTCTACGTATTTTCCGGTTTTTATGGAAGTTAAAACTTGGAAAATGGCAGATCATGTGGAAAAGAAATGTTGCATTCATTGCAGCTAAACTGACCTTAATCAGTTTATAGCACTCAGAATGTTGAGTGCTCTAGACTTTTTGTTACCAAGCTAGGTAACATTTTCAGTGGCATTTAGGAGATTTCTATTTCAGTGCTTTACTATTTATAAGTGCTTTAGGTGGGGATGTGTCAAGTGAGAGTTTTATGATGGGTCAGGTATGAGTCATCAGAGAGGGGCTTGTGATGGGCCTTGTGAAGAGGAAGGTACTTCAGGTCACGATCATTGTAGAGTGAGAATTATCAGTGGCTCAGGTATGAGTCATCAATGAGAGGATGGTGATGGATCTTGACCTCCTGATAATTCACATCCTCCAATGGCCCTGACCTGAAGTAACCTCCCCATCACGAGCCCATCTCTGATGACTCACACCTGACACATCATAAAACCCTCACTTGACACACCCACACCTGAAGTCCTTATAAAGCAGATATATGAAACACAAGGCCTGCGGGTCTGGGCCGGCCTGCCAAGGGCCCAAATTTGGCCCCAGGAGCTGTTCAAGAAATGGCAAGGGACCAGCCCCCGCTGCCCCAGCCCGTTACCCCAGTCCTGGCCCATCCCAATCCAGCTGGGCACCCTTCCAGTGCACACACAGGAAGTGGTGAGCCCTTGGAGACTGGTGGTGCACAGGAACAGCTGCAGCTCATTTGCCTTCCTAGGCACTAGTGCCTCCATACCCCACTCACCGGCCTGATCTTACAGGCTGCAAGGCTTCCCTTTCACTGGGATCATCCCGCCCCCCTAGTAGGAAAGCCACGGCTAGTGGCAGAATGGCCACCGGTGACACTGTTAATATCTCCTCCCCCTTTTACCCATTTCTTGAGCATGGAGGAGACAGAATGGGACTTTTAGGCCATGGGGCTTCTGCCTGCCAGCATGTGAGAGGAGATCGCAGGGGCTGTCGGGGGGACAAGGCAGGTGAACGATGATGGCGTGCAGTTTCTGGCATGGGTGGGGTCAGAAGCAAAACTGCCTTTTCGGCAGATGTAGAATCAATCCTGGCATGAAATTGATAACCTACCAGTTCCATTAGAAATCTTTCCTTCTAGACATGGAACACAGTCATAGCAACAGAACTGACTGCCTTCAGCGCTTCTCTTCCAGGACCCAGGGGAACAGGGGTC